AAAAAAAGCTCTGTTTTAGCTCCAAGTCCATAGTTTGCAACCAGAGGCAAATGCTTCCTCTGCTCTTATAAATCTGCACAGGAGTGGGTCTCTGGGGAGCATGCTGATGTCTTCTCTCCCCTACAGACCCTTGACGGCTCCTCTGCTGCTCCTCTCTTGGGAGCTGCTCCCAAATTTAGGATTCTCCGGGCAACCTCATGCTCCTCCCGCAGAGCAGTGTGGATTGCATGCTTATGGAACTGCTGAGAGACAGTTACAAAGCAAATGGCCCATGGGATGTAGTTCAGGAAGACGTGACCCTGGCTGGGTTCCCATGAAACATCTTCAGGCTGAGTTCAATCTTGTTGCTTAGGCAGCTGAGTCAGACGGCACAATGGGCAGCTCCTGTGATAGTGGCCAGCTTTGGGGAAAATTCTATTTTCCGTATGGACCAGTCCTGGCCATGTGGACATGCGTAGTTCATGAGTCCTACGCGATGGGGCAGGGTCTAGCAAAGACTACTTTTCCAGGACTGGTGCTCAATCCATACCGAGCTCAAGGTGCTATTTCTCCTTCCCTTTAATAGATAAAGGATTCAGTACCTCATGGTGCTTAGTTAGCAGGAGGGGCAGAGAGAAGAAACACACGAAATAAGTACTATAATGTCAGATAGTGATAGAAGGTATGAATGTTAATAAACACAAGAAAAGAGAGAGTGAGAGGGATATGAGGCCTACTTAGAGCAGTCAGGCAAGGTGTGGTCTGTGCTGGGACTTAGGTCAGAGGAATGGGCTTGTCTTAGGCTGGCTTGTCTAGAGAAAGATAGCCAGGGAGACTCATAAATGTGTAAGGAAGAACTTTATATCAAGAAGTAATTTCATATCAAGAAGGTAACCTAGCCCAGTCCAACTCAAGTTCATGGGTCTGATGTTAGCTGGAGTCCTGTTTAGACTCCCATTGTTGCTGGCCAGTGACACAGAAACGTGGCGCAGGAAACAGAGAGATCACAGGCCTGTGGATTGAGGGGCTCATGGAGCCAAGGTTGGCAGAGAATGGCAGGGCACCAACAACTCTTAGGTTCAGCGGCCCTCACAGGGGCAGACCCAGAACCCAAACAAGCAGAAAGGTGAAGGGTGAGAGAGAGGGTTGGGGCCGACAGGATCCCCAATGTTCCCACGCCCACAAGGAGGTATCATCGAGCTGTGGCCTGATGGGTAGGTCAGACTCCACCCGACAGGTTCCTCCAGGTACAAATTGACATCCAAGCTGAGCACCACAGGGCTCACTGTAGATAAGTAGGGTGGGAGGCAGAGGAGGAAGCAGGTACATTGGCTCTGCAGGGGGAAGCAGTCCCTGATTCCTGTGTGTCCTGAGGACACGGAGCATGGGGGAAGAGTGGCCTGAGATGATCCAGGTCCTAACTGTGAGTGCCTTTGGTGACACCATAAGCAGCTTAGATCGGT